AAAAAAACTTTCACACAATTTTTTTGTAATCTTATTGTATGTATGGATAAAATTAATGTCTTCATTTGTTATGGAGACAAATTGACTACACGTACAATAACCTTGAGTGCATGATATTTTTTGTGATGAAACTAAGTGCATCAACACAAAGAATAAAAACACAATATAGGGTGAAGAAAAACCTACCTTTAATGGAGATTTCAGATAATATTTCTCTAACATTCTATTTAGAGCTCAAGATGAAGAATAAGGATCTTGCAGACTTTTCGCTGTGCGTGGATGTGACAACAGTATCAAAAAGTCACGAAACTGAATTTGTTGATAATATACAACGTTTAGAGGCTGCTGGTTTTGAAAAAAATGATATGATGCAACTGCAGTTTTGTGAAGCTATAACTGATAATTCCGTGACATCAATTCTGAAATTACCTAGTATGGAAGAAATTGTTGCTGATGTCTATAATAGTATATCGAGAGTTGAAGAAACGACAAATGAAAGAGGAAGTGATATCATTTCATTAGTCACTATGGATGGAATTTCAAAATTGCTGTTGATGTCTATAATAGTATATCGGGAGTTGACGAAACGACGAATGAACGAGGAAGTGATATCATTTCAGTAGTCACTATGGATGGAATTTCAAAAGATAATGTGTTCAGGAACAAGACATTGGTTAAGAGAAATATTTTGATATATGTGATACACAATAACTTTCAATTCAAAATAAGTAGGTCGGACAAGAAAGAATATATGTTGAAGTGTATTGATGAGAAGTGAAAATTGACTTTTGGAGTTTCAAAACTTGGTGAAACAGATATGTTCAAGGTAAGGTATATTAAAAATCATCATATATGTTCAAATAACATCATTTTCGAAGATCGTCGTCAAGCAACCTGCTCAATAGTAGGAGAATTCATCATGTACAAGTATATCTCAACAAAAACAACATACCCTCCTACAGACATTATAAGTGACATGATGAATACATATGGCGTGTCGATGAGTTATGAGAAAGCTTGGAGATCTAAGGAAAAAGCATTGGAATTAGTGAGAGGA